GTTTATGTGGGTGAGGAGGAGATAGTTCCCCAAAGGCTACTAGTTCCCCAAAGCCCCCCTGAGGCTGGGCCCCAAGCCCAGGTTAGAGCCGCAGGCCATGGTGGCTGATCAGGTAGAGCCTCAGCCACTGGTTGGTCCTGATGGGGGAGCTGGGGCAGAAAGCAGATGAGGAGGGACACGCCGAGGCCTCGTGCGGGTCCAAGAGGGAGCCAGGGACCAGGCTAAGACTTCCTGATGACGCTGTACTCTGTGGGCTCCTCGTGGTCCCTGCTGGGAATGTGGCCTGTGTTGCTGTAGGTCGGCTCCTGGTCCAAGAGGTCCAAAGACAGAGATGCGTAGGAAATGTCCTCCCGCGGTAAGGGGGGCTGCAATAGAGATGGTCAAGGAGATCTGAGGGGCTGGCGGGCTGGGACAGAGGAACCCTCAGAGGAGGCCCGTGCAGGACGCAAGCTTCCCCACTTCACTCCACGCCCTCCAGCTTCCCCCCGCTCTGCCAGGCTCCCCAGCACAACAGAATCCCACCTCTGCCCAGGCGGCCGAGGGCACCCTGAGCCACGTGGCCTGTCTGCCTCTCTCCTGCCCATGCGAGGACCACAGTGGGTCTCCCTGGCCTCCCCAGGGCTAAGAACTCGTGTGAACACACTTCTGAAAGCCTGAGGGGGTGGTCCTCGGGCCAGTCCTGCAACGACTGCGGCCCGGCCCAGCCCACCCTCCTCTGCTGGGCCCACGTAGGTACCAGAAAACCCATCCTCAAAGTGGGGCCGACCAAACATCTGCCCCGCCCAGTCCCAGGGGAGTCCCCACAAAGGACACACCATGGTGACATATTCCACTTCCTCCTGGTCAGCCTGGGCCGAGGAGAAGGTTTGGGCAGAGGCCTTCTTCCGGGAGGAGCTGGCGGAGGATCTGGGCTGCAGCACGGACAGGTTGGCATAGCAGAGGTCCTCCTCCAGGGGCTGCAGTGCCTGGGGAGGGGACACAGGTGGAGTCACTGAGCAGCTTGTGGGCACAGGCTCCTATTCCACACCGGGACATGAGCCTATCCGCTTCCCAGTGACTCCCGGGTGCCCCCCACTTTCCCACCCCCTTTGCCCCTGAGGCCTCCTCCCCTCTAGATATTTCCAGGCCTCTCATCCTTCTGGGCCTGCGGGGGCCAGGGGGGCATGGGTGCTTCGGTACATGATTGGTCTGACATCAGGGCTCTTGGAAGTTGGGAAACAACGAAGAGGGAGAAGGAGCTGGCTGGTCTCTCGGGTGTGACCTCAGGGACTCTCTTACCTGCTCTGGGGACAGCCCCGCATCTGAAAGACAAAAACAAGCCAGAATCAGAAGGCCCATCCCTGAGGCCCACAGAGGCCCAGAAGAGAAACGTGGTGGGAAAGGGGGTGGATGAGGCTCCAGGTTCAGAGACAGGAGACCCAGATCTAACTGTGACTCCTCAGATGACACTCGGTGACATTGGCCACATCCCCTCTCTGAGCTTCCATCTTTCCATCTGAAAAAAAGAGGAAGACCCAGCCCACTGGGTCCCCACATCCGAGAACTAGTCCATGGACTGCTCGGGTGGCCCTACCGGCCAGCCATCGGTGCCCCTGGAGTTCAATTTCTTTCTGCAAAATGCTGAGCCCAGGCTGTCACTTCTGCCTGAGGTTCTGCTGAACTCCCACATTCCTCTGCCTGGTGTGTCCTTCAGGCTCAGCTCAAAGTTGTACCTGCCTCTCGCAACTACCAGGCTGCCAACCCCCCTCTCCCGGCCCCTGCTTCTGTTTGTCCCAGTGAAATCGAGTTAGTCTTCAGGTGGGCTTTGGGTCACTGGGCAGCAGGGCCTGTCCCTTCCTCGCATCTGGAGGCAGAATTGCTCCCAGCTGCCCCCAGCGGGGTCAGCACAGCACGGACTGGCTTCCAGGGAAGTACTGACTCCTGAGTTTCTTTGTGGTTTTTTTTTTATTTTTAATATTTTATTCATTGTTGATGGAACTTTATTTATTTATACGAGGTGCTGAGAATCGAACCCAGTGCCTCATGCATGCCAGGCAAGCGCTCTACCACTGAGCCACAACCCAGCCCCGCTTTCTGCCTTTGATCCTCCCCCTTCAGCACCCCCAGCCCTTGTGGTCCAGAGACAAAAAGAAGAAAGGGTTTCCCCCCAGTTTTTAGTTTCAAATATCTAGATGCTGAGGTGTCCTTAAGAGTTAGGCCTGGCTGACGCACTCAGGAGAAGAGGTGGTGAGCCCTCCCGCCAGGTTGGGCAGGTTTGGCAAGAGCTGGGGCCCAAGCATTCTGAGAAGTGGCACGACTCGTGAGAATGTGGAAGTAAGGCCAGGCAGGAAAAGGGTTACATGATCTCTGAGCAAAGACTCCTAGGCTGGCCACACCCCACCCCTCCAGCCCCAACCCCACGGGGCCGGGGGCCTCTCACCTTTCTTCTGCCGCCTCATCATCCTCCAAGCCAGGAGTGAGGCCACCATCAGGAGAAGCATCAGCCCAGCAAAGATGAGTGGGAGGAGGATCCTGAGCTCGGTGATGGGGTGCCTGGGGATGACAGAGGGGACTGTGCACCCCGCTCGGCTTCCGTCTCAGCCCTCTCCTGGGCCCTGGAGGTGGGGAGGGCCGAAGACCTCACAGCCTGCAGGACTTGGTTTCACAGCCAGGGAAACTCTTGGGTGCCCTCAAAGATGTTTTTAATAAAGGAGAGGAGGGCTCACAAGGTAGGGGTCGGTAGGTCTAGTGGCCCAGCAGAAATCACAGGGCAATGGGCTCCCACCAGGTCTCCCTGCTTCTATGCCTGCCCTCTCTGCTAGACTGAACAATGTCCCCCCAAACTTGTGTGCACTTTGAGCCTGTGAACATGACCTGTTTGGAAGTAGGGTCTTTGCCAATGTGATCAAGGTAAGATGAAGTCATACTGTTTAGGGTGGGTCCTGGCCAATGACTGTCACGGCAATGAGGGAAATTCGGACCCAGACACCCACAGGGAGAAGCCAGGTGACCACAGATGCAGAGGTTGGACTGATGCAGCTACAAGCCAAGAAGCCCCAAAGATTGCTGGCAACCACCTGAAGCTAGAAGAAAGCATGGGACAGACTCTCCCTTCGGTGCTCAGAATGTGACTATAGTTGGAGAAAAGGTCTTTAAGGAGGTTATTGAAGCCAGGCACAGTGGCACGCCAGGCACAGTGGCACACCAGGCACAGTGGCAACATGCCTATAATCCCAGTGACTCAGAGCCTGAGGCAGGAGGATTGCAAGATCAAGGCCAGCCTCTGCAACTTAGCAAGACCCTGTCTCAAAACTAAAAAAAAAAAAAAAAAGGAAATAATTAAAGTTAAAGAGGTCATTGATGTCATTGGTATGGGCCCTAATCCAGTGTAACTGGTGTCCTTGTGAGAAGAAATTAGGACATAGAGTTACACAAAAGGGAGGCCACGTGAAGACCCCAGAGGAAGATGGCCTTCTACAAGCAAAGGACGAGACCTTGGAAGAAACCAGCCCTTCTGACTGATACCTTGGTCTTGGTCACCTGGCCCCAGAAGTGTGAGGAAAATAAATTCCTGTTCCTTGGGTCCCCAGCCTGTGGTGCTTGTTAGGGCAGCTCTAGGGGCGCATACAAGGACCCCCCGTTCAACTTTGAATTCACAGGAATATGAAGACACAGGTGTCAATTAATTATATCTACTTTAATTGGTTCCAGGAGTTATCTTGAGGTGGAAGAACCTGAGGGCGGATCCCTGGACTCTCTGTTCATTCCTGTACCCCCTCGTGTTCCTCAAAACAGCGACAGGCGTGAATGGACGCTCCGTGGCTGTTTGTTGACTAAATGAACAAATCGTCCGTCTCGCACTAGTCCAAGGCTCCAGTGGCACTCACACAAGCTTTATTAATAAGATGGGGACTCCTTGGCTATTTTTTTAAATGCAGTTTGGTAAGAAAAAAAAACTCTCAAAACGGGGGAGAGAAGGGAGTCCCTGATGGTGGAGAGATTGGGGAGTCCCATAGAGACTGGGTGACAGGGCCCAGCAATAGAAGACCTTGGCAGATCTAAAAAATAGCCACAAGGTAGAAAGGGTCAAGAAAAGCCAAAGGAGGAAATCAAAGAGGCTCTCGGCTTCTCGAAAGCCCTTTGACTGCAGATGGCTGGGCAGGGCACTGAGAAGCGTGAGCCTTGCTCTGGGTTTGGAGGCCAGACTCCATCCAAGCTCCAGAGTGACCCTCATCAAGGAAGTGATGAGGCTCAGTCTCTTCTGTAAGATTCCTCCTCATGGGGCGGTCAGAGACAAGGTCAAAGAAAACATAATCATGGGCAGGAAATCCTGTCGTGAGCTTCCAGGAGCCTAGGATGGGAGCTACCCGTGCTACTGTTTTTTTTTTTCTTCTGGGGGGAATAACCAGGTATTGAACCTGGGGTGCTCCACCACTGAGCCACATCCCAAGTCCTTTTTATTTTATTTTATTTTATTTATTTTGAGACAGAGTCTCTTTAAATTGCTGAGATCCTCGCTAAGTTATTGAGGCTGGCTTTGAACTTACGATCCTCCTGCCTCAGCCTCCCGAGCCACTGGGATGACAGGTATATACCGCTGCGCCCGGCAGTTCCACTGATTTAGGAGAGACAGGATGTCCCCCAACCTACCGCAGCCTCCCAGGTGGGACACTGGGCCAAGAGCCTCTGTGGTCCTAAACCCTGTGCCCACACACTGCAGCCACACGGTCCTCACTGACTGCTACTCATTGCTTTCCCACTGGGCTCCATCTCTACGCCTGCCATGTAGAAGTGAATTCAGTAAACGTGGGGCCCAAGAACAGATGAAGCAGTAAGTCCACAGACTGTGCCCAGGATGACAGCTCCCAGGGGCTGAGAGCAAGCGGGAGGACTCCCAGGGTCCTCACCCTCACCAGGGAACCTGAAGCCCTAGGACCTTTCCCCACTGGAACAGCCTGGGCCAACTAAGCCACAGGGGACCGCAGTAACAGAGCCTGCTTACCTGGTGGCAGGGTGAGTCGAGAGGCAGGTGGTCTTTTCCTCGACGACTGGTGCTGTAGACATGTTGGTGGTGGAGGTGGAGGTGTTGGGGACTGTTGTAGTTGGGGACGCTGTAGTTGGTGCTTGACATACAAACAGATCACACACTACTCCTCCTGCCAGCCCCCAGCCTTGCCCCTGGCTCTGAGCCTGCAGATAGCGTGGCCCCCCTTGCTGGAGATGCCTGGGTGGAAGGGCTGGATCCTGAACCGCTCATATCCCCCGATCTCTGGGAGAGGAAGGGTCAGAGGGTCCCCAGGAAGAGCTTCAGGACAAGGACAACTGGGGCTCAGCTAAACCTTAAACAACCCTCTGCTTATAACAGTGCCTCAGGCAGTGGCTCCCTTGGCCTTCTCCATTCAGCAAGGACCCAGGAGCCTGAGGGACTAGTACAGGGGCTAACGTATACCCTAGATTGAAGACTTCTAAGATCAAGACCAACCCTGAACAAAATCAGAATGTTCTGGAAGGCCTCCACTTCAGGCAAGCTATGAAGATTCGATAATGGGGACACCTTCCTCCTGGGCATTGTCAGGATTCTGAGAGACAATGCCTGCTGCCCACTGTGCCACCAGAACACGCCCCAGAGGTTCCAGGCCTGGGCTCAGGTGACTGTGGTGCTCCTTTGTGCCCCCAGAGCCCTGCCAGCTGGTGCCGCCTGTCCAGGGGCCGAGCAGCAGAGTCAACAGGAAACGCCTTCAAACCAGGCCTTGGGACCCTGGAGCCTCCAGCAGTGCCTGCTTTCTGAAGGACTTAGGACCAGACCCTCAGTAAGCCAAAGGCATGAGCGGCTCCCAGCGGGTTCCCAGCAGCAGGAACGCAGCGGTCTGTGAAGGCCTCTCTGGGCTCAGGAGTCAGACCAACACACCAGGCTCCACAGGGCTTCTTCTCCCCCAGGGTGGATACGGAGGGGGGTGAGAACAGCCCTGTCCAGGCCCCGCCCAGAGCACCCCAAAGAGCAGGGCACCCCTGGACACTGAGGTCCCAGGAAAGCAGTAGCAGGTCTCTCCAGACCAAGGGCTGAAACTGGGGACCATCACCTTGACCTTTATTGGCAACAGGTTCAGGACTGAGCTGTGCAGAGGGAAAAGAGAGTCTGCTCTGGCTGACTTCCTGGAGGAGGTTCCAGGATCCCGGGGCTTTTAAAGAAGCCCCACCCCTGGCCAACCCCAAGTGTTCACTCAGGATTCTGTGAGACCTCAGGATTCAAGCCCCTCTGTGACAGGTCACTCTGAATAACGGACCATTCACTTCAGTGGGACCTCAGGGACACATCAACTCACTCTTACCTGGATCAATGGTCACATCAACTGGAAACTTAAGGTCATATCCAGACCTCTCAATTGCACACCAGTAAATGTCAGCATCATCTCTCCTGAGGTCCTCCATGGTCACCATGAACGTGAGGTTTTCCTGATCATCCCTGATGGACACACGGTCTTTCTTCACCTCCTGCTCTGACCCAGTGGTTTTAACAAGGGTTTTGCAGCCCCTCCAAACAGCTCCTCGACACCAGTACTTCTTGTGGGTCTTCCAGCCTGAGGTATAATTACACTGCACGGTCAGTGAGCCCCGCTCTGGGCCACTCGTTGTCTTTGGACCAGTGACTTCATTCTGTGCAGCGGAATAGCCTGGAAAACACAGATCCATACAGCTGTCACTTCCCACCCCAAGGGCATTGCCACAGTGTCCTGCACCTGGAAGAGTTCCCAAGTCAAGGAAGGAACCCACCTTCCCCGAGTCGGACCTGCATACTTAACACCTGCTGGGCCAAAGGCTCCAGGAAGATCACTGGTGAGCACAACCCCAGCTCTCTCAAGAAACAAAAGTGGGGACACAGCAAGGATGGCTTCCTGTCCTTCACCCCTCTCTACCTCTGATGGCCAGTGAATCTGTACATTTTAAGGGGTGTCCCTTTGTGGCCATCTGTGTTGTGCTGGTCTGGAGGGGAGGAAGCAGCAGGATCCCGGCCCACGGCACCTGCTGCTGCCTCCACTGAGCACCATGGCCCTCGGGACGTCTCGCCGAGCAGCCACACCAGGTGGCTGAGCAGGGGCTGTTCTGGGGGTCTCGGGGCCTCCAGAGCTCTGCAGGGAGCCTGCGTGGATGAAGGCCTTGGAAGTCGACCAGAGCTGTGAAGCTGGTCTCCATGTGCTCTGGAACACCCAGATCCCATCTTCTCCACTGAGTTGTCTTGGTGTCTGTCAAATAGCAAATTTGTGAGTTTTGTGTGGGTTTTCCCCTTGTGATCCACTGATCTATTGTCCATCCTTATGCCAATCCCACACTGTCTGATTACCCCAGCCTCACAGTAAGGCAACCACTAAAATACACCTTCTCCGTATTTGTTCTTCCATTTTCTCCTCTTCAAAAGATCTGGAACATGATTAGATGTTTCTTTACAAAAATGATTGTTTAAAATGGCAAATGACACTAAGCCATAGCATAAAGGAGACGAGGGAAGTGGGGAGCCCAGGGAAACAGGGAGGCCCAGGGAAACGGGGAGGGCAAAGATCCAGGCCCGCACAGCCCCATTCCACTTCAGCCCATGGTCCCTGCAGAGGAGATGGGCACTGCAATATCACACCTTTTCTTTTTTCTGGAGGAGCCAAAAATTTTGTGTAAACATTCTCACTTTTTAAACCCCAGCTTCATCAGAAGTAATAGCAATCAGGCACAGGCCACACAAAGTGCTTCAGATGTCACTGTGGGCTCTTGGCCCTGCACTCACATGCAAGATTCTTTTCAATAACTTTGTGAAGGTTTGATATTAGAAACACACTATTTTCTCAAGATGAATCTGACAGATTTCCATCTTTTATGCTCTGGAAAGAGAACATAAATGGAGCAAATGAATTTTTGTTTCTTTAGAGCCTATCTGGCAAAAGAGCCTCTATTGGGACAAAGTCTTTGATAACTTAATTTTTTTTCCTACAATTATTGGTCCTTTTAGGTTTTTTCACGGCTACCTCCCATCAGTCCTAGTGAATAAACCCAGGAATATTCTACCACTGAGCTACATCATGTCCTGCTTTTTGTTTTGTTTTGTTTTGAGACAGGATTCAGTAAGTTGCTAAGGCTGGCCTTGAGTGTGTGATCCTCCAGCTTCAGCCTCCGGAGTCGCTGGGATTACACGTGTGTACCACTGCAGCCAGTTTTGTTACGTAGCATTTTAAGGTCCACAACTCAGCTTTTAGAGCACTCACAACCATCACCACAATCTGATTCCTGAGCATTTTTCTCAGCCCTCAAAGAAATCTCATCTCGAGGCTGGGGCTGGGGCTCAGCAGTAGCGCACTTTCCTGGCACGTGTGAGGTACTGGGTTCGATTCTCAGCATTGTGTATAAACAAATAAGATAAAGGTCTGTCAATAACTAAAAAAACTTTTTAAAAAAAATCTCATCTCATTAGCACTTGTTTCTCTTACCCCTATCTCTCAGCCCCCAGTAGCTACTAATCTACTTCTATTTCTAGGCCAATAGAATCACACAATATATTGTTTCTGTCTTATAAGTAAAATATAATGAGTCTTCATACATTTTTATATGTTCTGCAATCAAATCAAATTTTTTTTGGGGGGGGGGCTAGATTGTGGCTCAGTGGTAGAGCGCTCGCCTAGCGCATAGGAGGCCCTGGGTTCCATTCTCAGCACCACATAAAAATAAATAAATAAAATATTGTGTCCAACTACAACTTAAATATATATAATTTTTTAGTTGTAGTTACACAATACATTTATTGTATTTTTAGGTGGTCTGAGGATCAAAACCAGGGCCTTGCATGTGCTAGGCGAGCACTCTACCACTGAGCCACAACCCCAGCTCTCAAATCAAGTTTTTTAAAGGACTTCCTCCCCGCGTCTCAAATTTTGTTTTCTGGAACAATTTGCAGAGGTACTTCTATTTTCTGGGAATTATTTTCGGGTGCATCATTTCCTTTGACCATTTTGCTTACTGTTGTCTTTCTCTTGCGATGCAGAAGTTTTTTCATGATTAACAAAGAAAGCTCGAAAATTCACCTTTCCTCAAAAAGTTCAGTATCTTTTCCTTGGTGAGTCCCCTCCGGGCCTTGCAGAGAGCAGACTCAGGTGCGCAGCCCCATCTCTGCTCCCAGCAGGCACTTATCTAGTGGGGCAGCTCTGTCTCCATCTCTGAAATCTGGCTTTGCAAGAGATTCTGATGCAATCTAAAGTTTTCATATAAAATATATTTGTATCTGGGGCTGGGGTGTGGCTCAGTGGTAGAGCGCTTGCCTAGCATGCATGAGGCACTGGGTTCCATCCTCAGCACCACATAAATGTAAAATAAAAGATACTGTGTTCACTTAAACCTAAAAAAAACCCAAATATTTATTTATATATATATATTTGTATCTGCAAAAACACTACGTCCAGAACACATAAGTGCATATATTATAAAACAAAAATGGTTTAAATTGAATGAGCTAAACATCTATGTCAATGGTTAGATAAAGAATAGGAGTAAGAAGAGAAGAAGCAAATGGAAAGAAATAATAATGAAAACAAACAGCCTGGGATTTTTGGTTGTTTGTTTTAATGTAGAAAATTTAAACAGACACTTCAGAAAGGAAGCTTATGGATGGCCCAGGACACATAAATAAAGACATCACTAGCCATCTACAATGCAAATTAAAACTGCAATAATTAAAACTGCCTGAAACCCACTACATATCAAAAACTTAAGACTGACAATACAAGATGGAAAAATACGCCACGCAGCCAGGATTCCCATGCACTACAAAAGTGCACCTGCTGCTCTTTTTGTGAACAAGGGTTTTCAGTTCCTTTGACTTTGTTTCTAGTAGTGCACGGAGGGCATCACAGACATGCCGGCTGAAAGATTGACACAGAGACGAAGACACTTTCTGATCCCATATGTGAACACATCAGGCAGATTGATCTGTGGTGGTAAAGATCACAACTGTGCTTCACAGGGGGAAGGACTGGCTGGGCAGGGAAGTAACTTTCTGGGTGATGGAAATATCCTGTATCTTGCTAGAAGTGTGAGTTACAAAACTCAGACTATACTTTTACTCTCTATGTATTTCAGTATCTGTAAATTATACCTCAACTTAAAAGAGTCTCATGGGCTGCATCTAAATTATGCTTAAAGTTGTTTTATGGCACTAAGTGCATATATTATAAAACAAAAAGGGTTTTAATTGAATAAGCTAAACATCTATGTCAATTAGACTAAAAAATAGGAGTAAGAAGAAAAGAAGCAAATGGAAGGAAATAATAAAGATAAGAACAAAGTTTAATCAAATAGAAAACAAACATATAACTGAGAAGATCAACAAAACCTACATTCAAAAAAAAAACTTGCAAGAAATGCATGATAGAAACAGGGAAGAGCTATGTAATCAATATCAGGAATGAAAAGGGCAATATCCTGCACATCCTACACAGATTAAACAGACAATAACAAAAGTAATAATAATTTAGAAAGACAGTAAAAGGATATATAAACTGTTATGCCAAGATATTTGAAATTTTAGATTGAATAAACAATTTCTAAAAAAAAAAAAAAACTCCTTGCACAAAAGAAGTGGAAAACCTAAACAATCCCCAAGCTATTCCAATAAATCAAACTGATTGTTTTAAACTTCTCCCAGAAGAAACTCCAGGCCTGTGCAACTCTACCTACCAAAGATGTAAGGAAGGTATCATGGCTGACTTGCACAGAAAATTCTGGAACACAGGAAAAGATGAATCGACCCTGAATCCATCTAGTGAGATTAGCAAACCTAATTGATAAAGGCAGTGGGAGAAAGAAACATGAAGCCTGGCAGGAAGATCAGGCCTGTGATCCTCAAGACTCAGGAGGCTGAGGTAGGAGGATCACAAGTTCAAGGCCAGCCTCAGCAACTTAGTGAGACTCTGTCTTAAAATAAAATAAAAAAGGGCTGGGAATGTAGCTCACTGTAGAGTGTTTGCCTAGCATATGTGAGGCCCTGGCTCCATCCGAAGTATGACAAAAAAAGAAGGGGGTAGGGAGAAGAAAAAGGAGGAGGAGGAGGAAGAGGAGGAGGAGAAGGAGGAGGAGGAGGAAGAGAAAGAAAAGAAAAAAATATTATAGGCAAATATTATTTGTGAACATAAATGCAAAAGTCCGAAACAAACAAAAAAAAAATCAGCCAACTAAACCCAGTGCTATATAAAAAGAATGATACATTCCTGCCAAGTTGACTTATACCAAGAAAATAAAATTGTTTGTTATTTTGTTTTGTTTTGTTTTGTTTGGTACCAGGGAGTAAACCCAGAGGCATCTAACCACTGAGCCACATCCTCAGCCCTTTTTATATTTTATTTTGAGACAGGAACTCACTAAGTTGCTTAAAGCCTCACTAAGTAGCTCAGGCTGGCCTTGAACTTGTGCCCCTCCTGCCTCAGCTTCCTGAATCCCTTGTATTACAGGTGTGTGCCACCACACCTAGCAGCAAATTGTTTCAATATTAGAAAATCAGTACATGCAATATGTGTCATTAGTGGAGTAAGGGAAGAAGACCATTCACTCATCTAAGGGAAAAGTACTTGGCAGAATTCAACACCCATTTATGATTATCTAAGAACACTTAGCAAAATAAAGAACTTCCCCTCTCTGGGAAGGGTAGTCTATCAAAGACTTCAGCAAACAGCACCCCAACCAGAGACCTTGGTGTGTACTTTATGATAATTTGTTAACCTGGACATTGATATTTTATGCACATTTAGGTACATGTGCTACTTTTTTTTAATTTTTAAAAAGTTGGGCTGGGTGCACACCTGTAATCCCAGCATCTTAGGAAGCTGAGGATTGCAAGTTCAAAGCCAGCCTCAGCAACTGTGAGACCCTAAGCAACTCAGTGAGACCTGTCTCTAAATAAAATACAAAATAGGGGTGGGGATGTGGCTCAGTGGTTGAGTGCCCCTGGGTTCAAGCCCCCCTACCAGAAAAAAAAAAAGTTGGGCCATCTCGTGGGAGAAAAACCAACACATTTCCTGAGAGTAGCAGCCTCTGGCTACTGTCGCTTCCACCTGCCCGCACACAGCGGGATGTCTTTGCAATCTCAAGGGGTCTGAGAGGAGCTCCAGGACGCAGACCCCCAGGCCCCCGGTGTTTGCCAACAAGCAAGACGTCCCCAATACCAGGATCACAGTGGAAATCACAGACAGGCTGGGGCTGCATTCTATGCCGCAGGAAGTGGTATATTCAGACCACCTGTGCCAACAGCAGGGACAAGCCCTATGAAGGACTGGACGGACCTTCAATCAGCTCCAGGACCAGAAATGAATGAGAACCACACACTCTCCTCCTCCTCGCTGCCCTCACTTTTCTCATGTAGCCAACGTGAAGCTCTGTGGTCCTGAGTGCCTGAAGTTGTCCCCGTGGGTTTAATCAGTGCACATCGCACCACTCTGTACATGTGTAGACAACCTGCAGATTACTATCCAATGGGAGTCATTTCTGGTTTTACTGAGATGGTTTCTGATACTCCAATGCCATATTACTCAGCTTTCTTATTGTAAAAACAGAATCAACTCACCATACAGTACTGAGAACACCTGAGCACACGAGCTGTGCTCAGGCTTTAAATCTGTGTCAGGATCCATTCGGTGGCCAGTGTGGTGGCTCACACCTGTAATCCCAGAAGCTCAGGAGGCTGAGGCAGGAGGATCACATGTTCAAAGCCAGCCTCAGCAACTTAGGGAGGCTCTAAGCAACTCAGTGGGACCCTGTCTCTAAATAAAGTATAAAAAAGGGCTGGGGGTGTGGCTCAGTGGTTAAGCACCCCTGGGGTTCAATCCCCAGTACCAAAAAAAAAATTGATTTGGTGTTTGGTTTTTAACCTGAACTCAGAGGGAGCTTTTTCTTTACTTTCCTTCTTCTTTTTCTCTTTTTCCCTTTTTTCTGGTACTGGGGGGCAAAACCCAGGGGTGCTCTACCACTGAGCACCCCAATTTTTTTATTTTTTTTATATTATGACAGGGTCTAATGGGGCTGAGGCTGTAACTCAGTGGCAGAGCACTTGCCTGGCATCATGCGTGAGGCACTGGGTTCCATCCTCAGCACCACATAAAAATAAACAAGTAAAATAAAGGCACTGTGTCCATCTACAACCTACAAATTAAAGGAAAAAAAAAAAAAAACAGGGTCTAACAAAGTAGCCCAGGCTGGCTGGCCTCAATTTTGCAATCCTCCTGCCTCAGCCTCCCAAGTCGCTAAAATTACAAGCGAGCACCACTGTGCCCAGTGTCAGCGCATTTTTAAAAATAGTTTAAAATACTTGAGGAGAGCAGCTGGACAGGCAGAAGGGACATGCTGTGGGCTTCCCTGTCTCAGCCTGAACATCTGTCCATCAAATCTGCTGTTTTTCCTTGGGAACTTGAGAGTGGTGACAATACAAAGCTCCATCAACTCTGCATGGTCACGATAGGCCCTGTGACGTTTAGTCTTTGGGTCACCTG